GGCACTTTTATCCACTTCTTCTGAATTAATATGCTCAAGACCTTCTATTGTAGGGTCGTTGGGATCTGGTGATTTCATGTTGTTTTTTAGATTGTTGGAGGAGTTCTTGCCTTGGCATCTGCCCATCTCTTCCTTCAAATGCTCTATATTGGATCTTCTAGTGCCAGGTCAGGTTCCCTTGTTGGGCAGGGACTTCACTGACAGAAGGTCTACCTTTCCTCAGGCAGTCTATTGAAACACAGGAACTGCCCCTGCTGGGCTGAGCCCACATCCCAGGCTCAGCGTGCAAAGGAGCAGCTCTGGGGAGATCTTGTGACCCCAGGGGATGGGGGGAAGAGAGGAAGGTGTGCCTGGATGAAAGCTGGGATGGGATTCGGGAGAGCTCTGCGGGGTGGGGCCACCACTGCAAGGTGACCAGAAAGTCGAGGGGGGCGGGGAAAGTCTGAATTTCTCCTAGCCGAAGCCCTCGGGCCAGGAACAAACTCACCCCTCCTCCACTGGATGTCTGCTAGAAGCTCACTGTCTCTTGCTGGCCAGGAATGTGTCTGAGTCGACATAGGGCCTGCCTGTGCTCAGGCAGGCTCTCAAAGCACAGGAACTGCCCCTGCCCGGCTGAGCCCACAGCCCAGGCTCAGCGTACAAGGGAGCAGCTCTGGGGAGATCCTACAACCCTAAGGGGATGGGGGGAAGAGAGGAAGATGTGCCTGGATGAAGGCTGGGATGGGATTCGGGAGAGCTCCTCAGGGTGGGGCCACCACTGCAGGGTGACCAGAAAGTCGAGGGGGGCGGGGAAAGTCTAAATTCCTCCTAGCCGAAGCCCTCGGGCCAGGAACAAACTCACCCCTTCTCCAATGGATGTGTGCTAGAAGTTCACTGTTTCTTGCTGGCCAGGAATCTATTCATCTCTATTCTTATAATGCAATGCTGAAATTGGTTCTCCATTAAATTCCTCTGTCTAGATTTGAATATCTCTGCGATCTGTTTTATTAGGTTTCTCTAAGGTCTGTATTTTAGCACTCAGATTAACCAACTTTTTAGTGATTAAACAAAAATGATAAAGCTGTTAATGTTTACAATCGACATTACATAAATCCCATCTAAATTAGATGTCCTCTCATTTAATCATTCCATTTTCAAACTGTCTAGCATACTATCATACAGAAATGCAAATCCCTCCATTGTAATGGGTTTTTTTCTCCATTTTGTAATGTGGGGGAAAAAAATCTCTTTTAAACAGTTCCTCTCTTTAAGAGTTCCCAATTGTCTCACCAAATCTACCGATGATGTTGATGAAGATGTGAGGCTGATTGCTGTTGCATAGAACAGTAAAAGCCTGAGGAGGGGGTTCAGGGAAACTCTGTAACCCACGGTGGAGAGAGAGAGAGAGAGAGAGAGAGAGAGAGAGAGAGAGAATGTGTGTGAGAGAAGGCAGTGTGAAAAATGCACAGGGGATTGTTCAGAAATAGCACTTGTGGCAGGGGCCTGGAGGGAGAACCAGCCAGTCTCGGGTGGGTAAGTCCTGTGTTGTTCGGAGCCCAGGTACTTCTGGGGTTTGGTTGGCAGTTGGAGACTGTTTCGGAGAGGCTACAGCATGAAAATCCCACACTCACTCAGAGGCTTGGGGAAAACATAAAAGAAATCCTGGCCAGGTGGAGCCCCACGTGCAGCTCTGGTGTATGCTGGCGGCTTCAAAAGCCTAAGGCTTTTTCATGAATTCATTTTCCAAACATTGGCCACCAAATGTAGCATGAATAATAAAAACCCAGAGACAGATATCAAAGTTCAACCTTGTTATTCCTTTGAGGTGCCTTTAAGGACTAACCACGCCCACTCCCAGCCACTTCTGACTTCCTAGTCGCCATCTTAACTCTCTCTCTTCTGTCCATCTCTTGGTGTGTGTACATGTGTCTCTGTCTCTCCCTATGTTTCTCTCTATGTTTCTCTGTCTGCCTCTTTTTAAGTAATAAATGTCTCCCTCTTCTTTAAGTAATACTATGTCCTGTGAGCCTTTTATCCGCCGTAACCACCCGCCTGACTCGCCTGCCGCATGGCGCTGCCACCCTGGAGATCTTGCAGGCACCCACAGCCATCCTTGTTGGAGTAGCGGCTGCTCTGCGAGCCGCCAGGGAACACACCCGCCTAATCTTTTTAAAGAACAAAAAACCTGAAGATCAAAAAAGCAAACCAGTCAGGAACTGGCTCTTACCTCTACCTCAGACCAAAATGACGACTTGCCTCCATGAATCCTCATGATGAGACTGAGCCTGAGACCTGTTTCCTTCCTTTTTATATTCCTCTCTAGTGCTGGGATTAAAGGCATGCACAACGACTGCCAGGCCTCTACGGCTAACTAGTGTGGCTGCTGGGATTTAAGGTGTGTGCCACCACTGCCTGGCCTGTACGGCTGATTATTGTGGCTGTTTTGCATTCTTGTTTTAAGGCAAGCTTTATTTATTAAAATACAAATGAAATATCATTACAAGTTGGTTTGAGTCTCTGCATTTATGACTTAGTGCTTAAGAGAACTTGTTATCGCAGAGGGCCTAGTATTTACATTACATGTTTGTCAACCATCTGTATGTAACTGCAGTTCCTGGGTATCCAACACCTTCCTATCTCCAGGGCACCAGGCACAATTGTGGTGCACATACATACATTCATGCAAACATATACATAAATAAATATTAAAATATATCTTTGATAAAATTTTGAGTTCTACTGTTAATCCTGGAATTCTTTTCAGTGCAGAAGCCATAAATACTGGTTTGGTTTGAATAAAAATTCCTAAAAGTCTCCTGTGGAACTTCTTAGGATCCTGAAGGTGGCAGAGGAAAGTGTACTTCTTGCGCCTGCTTTCCCAAATAGTGCCAACACTATTTACTCTGGTTATTGCATTGTGTAGTGGTTTGCCAAAGGATTCTATAGAGCTTTCTGCTCTGACCCTTTGACCTGGCTCTACCTCTGTCCCACACTGTTGTGTTCCATTTGAAAACAACAATAACCAACACCCATTTTCCCTAAAACTTCATGCAATGAGAATAGACTTTTGTTCAATGGTCACCATGTAATGATTCCAAACTGTCACGTACAAGAAAGTTCATTTCAGCCAGATATGGTGACACAAGATTGTAATTGAGATACTTGTGAGGTTAATGCAGAAGGATGAAGAATTTAAGTTCAGCCTGGAATACAGAGAAGCCCTATCCAACAAATAAAGAAAGAATGGAAAGAATGGGAAAACAAACATGCAGAAAGAAAAAAAGAAAAGAGGGCTGGTGAGATGGCCTAGTTGGTAAAGGTTCTTGTTGACAAGCCTGAAGACCTGAGTTCCAAATATATGTCACTGAGATTTTTAGCATCATAGCCTGGGTCCTGAAAGGTCTAGTAAGCTAGAATCTGGTAACTAATTGAAGCAACGAATAATAGGAAAAAAAAAACAGATAAAGGAGATGTATTCAATTTGTCTATGCAGAGGCTAGGAACAAGAGATGCAGGGACATAGACACCCCCTGCCTCTGCTTGCAGAGTGCTGAGATTACAGGTATATATGAACATACCAAGACTACGAAATTTAACACAAGTCTTTAGATATTTCCATATGCACTCTATCTTAGAGAAACATGGATGGACAGTCTATTAGGTTTTTTTTATGTTTTTTTCCATTGTTTTTTGAAACAGAGTCTCACCATATAACTCTGGCTAGCCTGAACTTCACTGTGTAGACCAGGTTGGATTCAAACTCACAGAGATCTGCTGCCTTCTGCCTCCTAAATGCTGGAATTAAAGGTGAGCACCACCTGGCCGGACCATTCTACTACTTTGAAAGTTTCTGTTAATGCATTAATAATTACTTCCCCCCAAAGCGTACATAACTTGGGAAAGTACAATTTTGAAACAGTAGAGATATGTCAGGAATAGTTCACCTTTAACAATAACAAAATGGAAGTCTTGGGATTGGATTATATTTTGCTATGTAGTCCAGGCTGGCTCAGAATCAGAGATGTGTCTTCTTCTGCCTTTACGGTGCTGGGATTAATGGCGTGTACCACCTCACTTGGCCAAGATTTTATTTTATTTACTTATTTTTTGATATATTGATTTTTTGAAACAGGGCTTCTCTGTGTAGCTTTGACTGTTGTGGAACTTGCTCTGTAGACCAGGCTGGCCTCAAACTCCACCTGCCACTGCCTCCCAAGATTGGGATTAAAAGTGTGTGCCATCTCTGTCCAGTAAGGTTTTAATTTTTATTTTATGTGTATGGGTGCTTTATCTGCATGTATGTCTGTGCACCACTTGTGGGCCTGGTGCCTTTGGAGGTCAGGAGAGAGCATCAGAGCCCCTGGAACTGCGCTTATAGATGGTTGTGACTGCCGTGTGGGTGCTGGAATTGAACCTGGTTCCTCCGCACTAGCAGTTTGTGCTCTTTCTTAACTTCTGAGCTACCTTTCCACCCCACATCCCATTCCCGCAGAATTAGGTTTAAATAGAAGGCAAAGTATGTAACTAAGCAGTCTTAGTGTGTGCCCCACTCCCCACTATATTTTTCTGTGGCTCCAGTCTGTTCTGCAGAGTGGTCGGAATTGTATGAGATATTATTTTCCTGTGAGAAGTCTCTGCTCTGACTGCCTCCTGGCTTTGGCATATCCCCTCCTCCATCACGAGATTTCTATTTCTGGGGTCCATTGTCTCAATGGTCTGCCAAGGAAGGGGCATAAATGTCGCTTAAGAATATCATTAATTCCTGTCAGGCCTGTCACACCATGTGGGACAGCGTCCAACTTCCACTCTATGGTACTGCACGGAATCGAAGTTCCTGGATGGTGGCCTCCAACATCCTGAGCATATGGATACCGTCACAGCGATTTCCAGAGAAACTGCAACCACCTGGTTCGCCATGACGACTGTTGGCTGGCGCTCGGTTTCAAAAGTGTTACGCGGGGCATGCTCACCATCCTACGGGGCGTGGACAAATCCTGCCGGAAATCTAAAAGACACCGGAAATAGAGTGGCCATGAAATGTTAAATGTTCTAGTCCTTCTAGTGTTGCTTCGCTGGCGGGTCCGCGAGGTGGCTCGGAACCTTTCCTTCCGGGACTCTGTGCCGTCCGCGGGCGGAAGTCGCGGCCCGGCGGGCCGTGTGCACAGCTCGCTCTGCGCTGCGGTGAGGTGAGTGGCTGCGGGGCAGGGCGGACGCTGTGCCGCCGCTGCCGAGCGCCGGTTTGTGCCGAGCGACGGCTGCCGAGGCTGCCGGGTGATGCGTGGATAAGGTGGGGGTCGTTCGATCGGTTTCATTCCGTGCTTGCGGGTTTCCGCGTCTTCTGTGTTTTGTCACTTCCCAGTGTGCTCTCCTGTGGGAATTCACACGGTCATCCGTGAAAATTGTCATGTCAGGATGTTCGGGGCAGGACTCAGTGAGTGTGCGCTGCAGAAGCCGATCCTGGGTGGGAGCCGGGAGCTTCAGGACGAGGATCTTGAGGTGGCTTGTGACCCACTCAGGCCCTGCTGGCGTAGAAGTCAGCGCAGGCAGCGATGTAGCATGGGGCGGGTGGGTGTAGGGTGCTTGTACTGGCCTCTGGTGGGGCGGCGTTTGCTTAGCCAGTGACTTGATCGTGTCTTAGTACATGAAGAGAAACGCCGTCAAGTATACCAAAATAGAACGTTTCAGGCCACAAATGTCACACACTCTCTTTCTCGTGTGTGTGTGTGTGTGTGTGTCTGTCTGTCTGTCTGTCTGTCTGTCTGTCTCGTAGGGGTGGGGTATGCTTTGCCTAGTATCCAAGCTGCTGAACTCAGGGACTTCTTTCTTAAGGTCTATAAAAGTAAGGAATTTCTTTTGTTTTGTGGGCTGCTGTTGGATCTCCTTTACTAGTTCCTCCCACTGTGGGTGACTAGCATTACTGAAGGAAATAAACACAAATAGAAACAAATTCTCAACAGCTGTAGGAGGTGGTGCATGCTTTTAGTCCCAGCACTCAGGAGGCGAAGGCAAGTGGATCTCTGTGAGTTAGATAGAGGCCAGTCTTGTCTACATAGTGAGTTCAAAGACAGTCAGCCTCACAGAGAAACTCTGTCTCATAAAACAACAACAACAACAACACACACACACACACACAGAGCCCAAATTCTCATTCTTTGGCCACTGTAGGGTCCCATTTGGGGATCCTTTGGAGATTATGTGCATCAGTGCTTGGTTCTCTTTGGGTTCAGAGATTGGCAGTTGACCAAAATGAGGGTGCTTCCATATTGGGTCATATTATTTGTACCTGAACATTTGTACTGATTTAAAGTTTTTAAAAACAGTGTATCAGGCTGGGTGTGGTGGCGCGTGCCTTTAATTTCAACACAGGTGAAGCTGAGGCAGTGTGAGTTCAAGGCCAGGCTGGTCTAAGTAGCAAGTTCCAGGACAGCCAGAGCTACATAATAGACCCCATCTCAAAAACTAACAAACAGCCACACATACGTAAACACACACACACACACACACACACACACACACCCCTACCTACACACAAAACAGTCTATTATACATTCCTGGAAGCATCTTTTTGGGTTCTAGGGCAGTAATGATTTAAGTTGCCTGGAACACGTCAGTGACTTGGAGGCAGTTTGTAACTTGACAGTACTGGGCAGCACTGGTTGGAGGTTACTGGAACTTATCTATGTCAGTGGCTGCATGCTGGTGGAGAGGGAACCTTCATGGACAGCTTAGAAGTGCTCAGTGTGGAGAGGTCTTGGTGCAATTTCTTAGGGTTTGGGCCGTGTGTGTGTGTGTGTGTGTGTGTGTGTGTGTGTGTGTGTGTTTGGGAGTGAGGGTTGGGTGAGTGAATTTTTCATGATGTGGCTGTGTGTGGACAGAGAAATGTCTAGAAACTCAGACTAGAATCATGATTGGCTGTCATCCTGAGCTCCCTGGGCAATAGAAAACAGAAATGATGTTTTCAGATGCTAACTACAGAAGGGATTACATACACTAACTACTATGGTGGCCAGTGTGTTCCTTAGAAAGAAAACAGCTTGAATCTGTACCCCTGTTCTTCTGTTTAGTGACCTGTGACCTAATTGAAGGAAATCTAATGCTTACTATGTGTAGCTGAAAGGGTTGTTTGAAATAAAATCAAAATTAAGTTGGCATTTTACTGAGTTTTTGTTGGTGTTTACTGCCTTTCAGGCAGGTGCTGAGGGCTTGGTCAACCTACTCAGGCATGACATTCTGGATCCCTATAATAAATACCTATGTCTTCATTTTGTCAACAACTAGGTTAGCATGTTGTTTTTCTCCTAATTAAAATGTGAGCACAGCAAGTGTATCCAAACTGATGGTTTTTAAAATATTGTTGTTTCTTTTGTTGTCTGTTTTATACCCCTGACTAATAACGAGCAGGGCTTCCTGTACCCTCTGTGGTGCCTACCTGTGAGCTTCCACACGGGCCCTCACCCATCCATTGTGTTTTAGGGACTGCAGGGTCTCAGAGCTCCTGGGACCTCTGAAATCACTCCGGCTTCAGGATCTCTTGCTGTGCCACAGCCAACCTTGTTCAGCATCTGTAACCCTTGAGGAATTTGGGTCTGCTACGAAGAAACATCAAAACTGGAAGCTCAGAGGGGCCATGGCTGCGGATACGAATTTCCAGCAGAAGATCCAACCATTGGCTGCAGAGGAGCAGCGTGGGGCCTGTGAGGTAAGAGGGAGAGAGTTCAGACTGGGCTCTTCTGGACAGAAGGGCAGACCCTACGTGACCGTATTTCTGAGATCTTTAATCTAGTTAAAAGAGTGGACTGTATATATCCCACACCAACTAAGTACCCCTCACACCCCATGCCCCCTCTCCGCCCTGTCTTTCTTTGGATACAGGGTCTTATTGTGTATGTGAGGCCGGCCTAGAACTTTTTGTATAATCTAAGCTGCCATCAAACTCAACACCTTTTTTACCTCACTCAGCCTCTCCAGTCTGGAATTACAGGCCTACATCACTATAGATATTGTCTCGTCTGTTTTATTTAAATGACTATAGATATCATCTTATCTGTTTTTTTAATGACAAGCTTTTCCTCTTGAGTTTTCTTTTTTATGTTCGTTCCTCTTTCACATCTTGCTATCCTCAGTTTCTTAAAGGTTGCCTGCTATGCCCGCCCTGTAAGAGATGTGCATCTGGGGAGGTACCATTCTGTCAGCTGGTAAAAGAATTTTAAAGTGGACTTAGAAGGAAGCCCCAGGACGATTTCTATTAGGGTTTTAGGGAGAACAGAACAAGCTAACAAGGCAGATATCCTGAAAGTCCTGTAGAGGAAGGGGGAGGGAGGGGACATAGACCTTATATTTAGGCAGTGAGGCCGGCAAGTGCCGTGGGATGGGGCAGCTGTAGGTGGGTGGTATTTTCAGAGATCCCAGGGGAAGCATGCTATGGAGGCTTTGCCCAGGATCTGAAAAAGAGAAGGAAAAGTTAGTTTTTGCTTTAGAGTTCTGTTGACAGAAGTTTCTGTCCCACCTGGCTCCACAGCCTTTCAATCCCAAAGAAAGACAAGGAGACTTATGTTAATTATAAGCTCTGTAAGTGCTGTTCTGAGGGAGGAGGCTGATGAGGTTCCTAACTATTCCTCCCAACACCTTAGCATCTCCTCAGGTGAATCTGTTTTTCTGGTATCTCCTGTCCAAGTGCTGGTAGCCAGGATGTGGATTAACTCTTCCAGGAGACTCCTGAGCTTATGCTGTTGTCTCATGTTAAAGAAGAGAAACTGAGGCACAGATGACACACCAGCTGAACTTTATGTTGAAGCATCTGCCAGCTGGCAGTGCGTTCCGTGGTCTGGCTGCCGGTTCCATTCCCTGCTCCTCCTGAGGAAACTTCTGGTGATTTTCTAACTGCATGGCCAGGCTGCTGTCTTGGCACTCCCTGCCCTGTCTTGTCCTGTTAGCTCCCTTCACTGTCGTATGGGAATTCTTGTCTCTTCACGTGTTCAGGTCCCTTAGTCCCCAAGTCCTGTGGATTTCTCTTCTAGTTCATAGCTGCTCTGGTTTTTGTGGTGTACTTTGCAAGGGTTCCTTGGATGGGTATATAAGCGAAGGTGCAGCGAAACTACCAAACTAGACTTCTCCATTGGTGGAAAGGTTTATTGGGGAGCAAACTGAAGGCGTGTTTCTGAGTGGGGAGAGAAATATGGCGAAAAAATTCAAGCAGATTTTGTTAGGAGGGTGGGGTCTTTGAGCTGATACAGAAATTGATCAGGATCCTGAGGTGGTTAACATTTGTGGGAAGATTAAGGATGGTTCCATTAGACAGAGACCCATCTTTAGGCTTCTGTTTACCCAACCTTTGCCGCTGGAGGTCGCTGCTTTGACCCTAACAGGGTGCATGGTGGGTAAATCTAGAGCTGTGCACATGTGAGAAACAAAACAAAATAAGCACCACGGATTTCGGTGTCCAATGGAGAATCTTTCAGAGTTTGTGTGCATGTGTTTGATTGTCATGAAATGCTGCTTCGCTTTGATTGCATTTATCTATGGCTGAGTTTACATTGTAGGCTGAAAATCTCTTCGCTCCTGCTCAAACCTTCTGTTGCTTATTTCTACCCCAAATATGCTCTTCTTACTGTTCAAATGTTATATATTTGAGACAAGATCTCACTGTATATCCCTGGCTGGACTAGAACTCACCATGCTGTCCAGTTAGCTTTGAACTCATAGAAGTTCACCTGCGTCTACCTCCCAAGTGCCCATGTGCAGGGATTAAGGTGTGTGCCACCGTGTCCGACTAGTTTTCCATTTTAAAACTCTTTGTTAATTATTTGTGTGTGTGGTGTGTGTATGTGTGTTTGTGTTTATGATTATGTGATTGCCTTGGTGTGGGCGTGGAGGGCAGAGGACACTTTGTAGAGTTAGTTCTCTCCTACCTGTGTGTGTTATAGTGATGAAGCTCAGGTGGCCAGGTTTGATAGGCAAGCACCTTTACTCACTGAGCCATCTCACCAGGTCCTATTACTGTTATTTACTGAATGAAAAACGAGATAAAAGGAGGAAGATGACTACTCCTGAAGTATGGAGAAGATTTGTATTGTAGCTATGAGGGAGAAGGCAGGCAGAGGGGAGAGTCCAGGCTAAACATGGCAGGCTGGCCAGAGCAGACCATGAGAAGAGCAAGAGAGGAGCTGCCAGCCGGGGCAGAGGCATAGCCAAATGGTTGACTTGTGTAGGGATCTGACTGGGGAAGGGAAGCAGAAGCCCTGCCCCTGGGAGGGAGAGCTTTAGAGTAGGGGCAGGGTGAGAAGTGCGGGGTGGAGCCCCAGGTACTGAGGAACACAGGGAGAGCAGGCCAGCACTGGCCTCTACATGTTAATAGGCACCTTTGTTAGCCATTTGTCCAGGGGTACTTTGAGACCTAACATTCATTCATTCATTCATTCATTCATTCATTCATTCATTTATTTTTGAGACTAGGTTCTCACTATGTAGCCCTGGCTGCCCTGGAATTTGCTATCTAGATCGGGCTGGCCTCAAACTCACAGTAATCTGCTTACTTCTGCATCCCACACGCAGACATTAAAAGTGTGCTCTTCCGTTCTTAGCTATTTATTTTTAAAGCTTTAAAACATATTTATTTGTGAGTTTGTGCCTGCATGTTTTTGCACATATATACTGTGTATAAGGAGGTGTCTGTGAGGAGGCCAGAGAGGATGCAGAATCCACTGGAACAGGAGTTGTGAACAACTGTTTGTATGCTGGGAACCGAACCTGGGTCCTTTGCTAGAGCGGCCAGTGCTCCTAACTGCTGAGCTGTCTCTCAGTACTATTTATTTCTAATGTGCTGCTTTCCTCATTATTTTTTCCTAATCTTTATTTATTTTGTTTTGTTTTTTTGAGACAGGGTTTCTCTGTCCTGGAAGTAGCTCTTGTAGACCAGGTAGGCCTTGAACTCACAGAGATCCGCCTGCCTCTGCTTCCCGAGTGCTGGGACTAAAGGTGTGTGCTGCCACCACCTAGCTACTCTGTTTCTTGAATGTGCATGTGTCACAAAAGTGTAGATGTCAGAGGACAACTTGTGAAACCTAGGTCTTTCTACTCTGTGGGTCCTGGGGATCAAATTTCCATTGTCAGTCCTGACAGAGATGCTTTTCTCTGCTGAACCATCTTTTAGCTCAGTCAGTGTTCTTTTTAAAAGGAGTTTTAGGTTGCCAGAGAGATGACTCAGCAGTTGAGAACATTGGCTGCTCTAGCAAGGAACCAGGTTCAGTTCCTAGACAGTTCACAACTGGAACTCCAGTTCTAAGGCATCTACGGCTTCTTCTGGCCTCTCTGCCTACTGCACACACAGGGGTGCATAACCCTGCAGGCACAAAACACTCATATAATTTAAAAAAAATCATCTTTTAAAAAAGGGGAATTTTAAGAACCTTTTGATGTTTGATTAATGACATTTTGTCCTGTTCTTGTAGTTCATGATATTTTGAAATGTGGCTTTTCTGGATGGATATTATAAGCTTAAAAATCTAAGCTTTGTGTGTCTTTTTCTCCCCCCCCCCCATGCACTGTATGCCAGTGTCCTCCATTCCTCTGTTGTCCGCTTTGTGCCCCTTCCCTAGTCACTCTTTCTCCAGTCTCAGAGGCCTCCTGAGAGAGACAAGTCACAGAAGGAGACAAGGTCTCAGGAACCCTTGCTGGGCTGGAACTGCTCTGTAGGCCAGGTTGATCTTAAATTTACAGAAATCTGATTACCTCTATCTCGGGGGTGCCTGGACTAACTTCTTGTGCAAGCTTCTTCCACATACAATTGAATGAGCAAGAGACTTGCTTGTGTAGTAATGGAAACAGGAAAAGCTGAGCTTCCTCAGTTGAATGGAAAATGTATGTATAATTGCCATGGCTCCTTCCATTGGAGTGTCTAAAATTAGCCCCACAAAAATATCAAGTGTTGATGTGCTTGTGTCCCAAGGAAGCAGAAGGAGCACTGTGCCACTGCTGAGAGTATCAGTTAGTCAAGCCAGTTCGGAAAACTGCAGTCTTTTGTGAAGTGTGTATTGTCTGACACCCGCATTTCTCCTGCTCAGGAGTAAATGCAGCAAGACAGAGCTGTGCAGGCTCAGCTAGCGTATTGATCATTGCCAGTCAGCTTATTGAAAGCAGGGCATTTGCTTGCGATTTAATTTCTATGTTTATAAATATGTGGATGTTCATTTACTTCTCGAGCATCTAGTTATTTGGTCATTGTTCTTTTTCTTCCTTACTCCCAGTCTTCTGTATTTCTTGATATGAAGATGAAATCTATGCCCTGGCAATGCTGAAGAATGCATGAGCAGTCCGTATATGGTGGTTCTGTTGAACTTGTCCATGTTGGATTTCATGAGGATGATTGACCAGGTCTCTTCCTCAAGAGGGCACCAGACCTCATTACAGATGGTTGTGAGGCACCATGTGTTTGCTGGTGCTGGGAACTGAACTCAGACAGTGCCCTTAACTGCTGAGCCATCTCTCCAGCCCAAACTAGCTGCAAACTCCCTGTGTAGTTGACACTTGTCTTGAACTCCTCATCCTCCTGCCTCAGCTTCTGTGGACTGGGACCGCAGCATCTGTCATCACTGCTGGCTTCTTTTCCTTCTTTGTTTTTGTTGCTGTTTACTTATGTTTTAGTATTTTTTAGGAACTTTGCTTCTGATTTTTCTTTGTTTCATATATCTTTTTCACTTATAT